TGCAGGCTGTGCGGGCCAGGTGTTCAAAAAGAAAGCTTTGATTTGCACAGCTCGCAGGTTGCAAGCTGCACTGTGGACTCAGGGTTAAAAACACTATTTACAAGCCCAGCTTTGATTTGTCTTTTATTTGCTGTGTGAGTGTAGATGCTTCCATATGCAAATCAAAGTTTTGGGGAAAGGTTTTAAAGACACAAAATAGCACGGTGAAAGTCTCGGGAGTAGGAATTTTGATTTGGGGAGGTCAAATTTAAAAGAATGCGGTCATAAAGCTGTTACCCATTTCCAAACAGACTTTTCTATGTAAAAACAGCAAAAAAGCCTGTGTATGCACCTAAAATTGATAATGAAAAGCTATTAACAAAAACAACCTAAGGATTCCTTTGCTTCCATTGCCCGCTTTCTCCAAGAGGCATTACCTAGGCTAACTTGCTAGGCTAATTTACCATAAAGATGTATCTGGAGAGGCTCCCTGTGTGTCTTGGAGATAAACATGATGCAAGTGAGCCAGATAATGATGCATACATTTGTATATGTATGTGTGTATGTCTGCGCTGCGTTCCCCCTGCCCGCAGCGTCCTGGGCTGCAGGGCAGACGACGGGCAGAGATGCTCGTCCCGGCACTGTCCATGTCTGACTGTCTCTGACCTCCTGTGCTGCCCCCGGAGCAAGGAGGGGTTTATGGGGACAGTGACGTCCCCAGTGACGGTGTGACAGGCCTGGCAGAGCACAACCTTCCTCGGCTTGTTCACCTTCATGCAGAAAACGCGTGTTGTGCTTTCAGTCTGCTTGGCTGGTCTTTGTGTGGGATGGGGCTCGGGCAGAGCGTGTTCGGTGTGTTCAGCGTTCTCCGCGGGCTGCTCTCGTGTGCCAGCCGTCTCGCTTCGTTTGCTGGGACATTTTTGACAGCTGAAACTTGACAGATGATCCCAGTGAGGCTCCACGGCGCGGTTTGGAAGGCGGCTGCCCTCAGCTGTCCCCTCTGCAGCAGGGGTGGCAGGAGGACGGTGTCCCTGTGTCTCAGGTAGAAGGTACAAA